GTCGCCCAAACCTGCCACGGGTGGTGGCCGTGCTAGCGGCCGGTTCCGCACCTGGCCTCAGCCTGCAGAGCCTGGTGCTGGAGCCCCTCAGGTAAGAGACGGCAGCCAGGGGCCGGGCTGGGCTGGGCCCGCCTCTGCAAGCAGCCCGGGGCCCCACGGGGAAGTGCAACCCCGCCTGCTTTGACCGCGCCCCGCGATGCTGCTCTGCGCCCTGTCTCCACGTGCTCAGGGCGAATCGCCGCTCCCTGGGCTGCAGGTGGCTGAGAGCTGACTGCGCTTCCCCCTTCCCCCTCCTTGCCTTCTGCCTTCTGCAATGCGGGGCTAGACTGCCTGCAGTTTTCAGTTTTAAAAATCATGACCAAGTGCGGGGCTAGACTGCCTGCAGTTTTCAGTTTTAAAAATCCTGGGCCATGACGACGTCACATCACGCCTGAGCGTCTCCCCACCCACCTCAAATGCAGGCGCGTGGCAGCAGCAGCCGGCAGCATGCACTGGCAAGGGGGAGTAGCCGACTTCTGGGTGCAATGCGTGGAGCCCTCTTAGGCCGGGGGCCAATTCAGCCGAATCGGCTTAAGGCCGGCCCTGAATACAGGGATTACACATGGGCTAGGTCTACACTATAGGCTTTTTTCAGAAAAAGCTACGCAAATTGTAGGGCCAAATGGTGGAAAAGCCTCCTCTTTCAGCGGAGCCTTTATTCCTCGTAGAACAAGGCATAAAGGGCTCCCCAAAAGAGTGTGTTTGCTCTTTGGCAAAAAAAAAAAAAAAAAAAAGCAGAAGAGCAAACGTGTTCCCTGCATGCAGCGGAGTTTTTACGGGATACCCAGAAAAACCTCGCAGTTAAGATGTCCCCTTGGATAGGGGAGAGGAGCATAATCAGGCCCACGATACCCTGATCTAGAGGCTCACCACTTGGTCCTCTACTCACCTTTCTTGACTTTTAGGGCCCCACTGCCCTGCATGGGGGTTATGCAAAGCAGTGTCAGCACCGACAATATCAAGAGAAGCAGGAGTGAGTTGGTCTGGAACTCTGCAAGGAACAGAAACCACTGGACATGAGACAAGGAGAGAGTTTTACAAGTGCCTAAATCCTACTGAAAGTCAATTGGACTTAGGCACATAAGTGGCTTAGACACTTTTGAAAATGTTACTCAGAGATTTAAGGCACCACAGGAGGTGGCTGGATGTTCAAAAGGACCCAGCATGGTGGCTCAGCAACTCAGAGATGGGGCCAAGCTGCTATTCACTTCACCCACCCACACCTCTGCCATTCTTGAGTCTCTGCAGCTCCCAGCACTGAGCCCAGTCTCCTGATGGAATGGAAAGCTTTGCTCAAGGTCAGCATTGGCAAAGGGCCCCTGCTTTCCCAGCTCCTTGGCTCCCCATAAGGCCTCCCTTGCAAGTTGCACAGTGTGAAACCAAAAGAATTCCCCAGGTCCCAGAGAAACCAGCTGCCTCCAGACAGCAGCAGAGATGTGCCAACGGAGCCATGAGCATCACACTGGTCTTGTTCCTGCCAGTCCCTGACCTCTCTGTTTGCCAGTCTACCCTGCTCCATGGGGTGACGCATGGGAGCCTCTCTTGCCTGGTGTACAGCTGCCATGGTAGGATGTGTCTGTCCTTCTCAAACGGTAGATGGGGCAGTAGCGCAGGTGGCTTGGTTATGGCTTGTGACTCCAAGCAGAGACACCCAAGGAAGTTTCTCCAGACCCCCTGTGGCTGGAGGAGTGAGTTATGTGCTTCATTCTCGTTTGGATAAAGCTTGCTGTGGTGAGGAGGAGGAGGGGTACGTGTGCACCTGGACATAGGCGGCAAGTTACGTGGGCCAGAGGTGCTCAGGAACCATGAACGTTGAGGGCTGGGGGCTCTGCTCCAACAACTGCAACCTAGCTTGAGTGTCACTGTGATGAATTCGGAAGCTGGAGCAGCCCAGCCTTGCTGCAGGGAGTTTGTTTATGAACAGAGGCGGGGGATTAAGGTAACAAAAGGCTTATCATTAAAGTGAACTAAGGCTCATTAGCTGGTCCCAAAAGTGTTGTCAGGTTTTCCAGTCAAAAGATAAGAAACTAAGGGTGTGTCTAGACTACCTAGTTTTGTCGACAAAAGTGGACTTTTGTTGACAAAACTATACCAGCGTCTACACTACCGCTGAGTTCTGTTGACATAACGTCGACAGAACTCAGCAGTTTTGTCGACGCTGGTAAACCTCATTTTACGAGGCATAACACCTTCTGTCGACAGAACTCTGTCGACAGAAGGTGTTATTGCCTGTAACGTTGCGTCCAGACTACGGAGTTCTGACGACAAAGCAGCTTGCTTTGTCGACAGAACTCAATGTGTCTGGACGCTCTTTGTCGACGGAAGTTTTGTCGACAGTATCTGTCAATAAAACTTCCGTCGACAAAACGCGGTAGTCTAGACGTACCCTAAGAGTGGGCAAATAGAGGAGTTTTGTGGGCAGTTTAGAGGCAGAGTTTGAGGGGGGCGGGGGGGCTAGATACACTTAACACAGTGGCCACCACCCAGTAGATCAGGATCTACTGGTAAATCTTGGAGCATCTGACAGATGATCCCAACTGGTTTGGCCAAGAGGCTACCAAGCGCTGGTACTTCAGCTGCCCCGTGTCCCACTCTTGTGCATCTTCTTCCCTTTGCCTTGGAGCTGTTCCCTCAGGAGTCTCCGGCTTTCAGTGCAGTGCAGGAAACTGGGAGGGGTGTTCACACCAAGGTGCCCCCTCTCCCACTCCATATTCTATCTCCACAGAACAGAGGGGGCACAACGGGACTTGGGAGGGAGTTTGCTGGCTGCTTTAGGGAGTGGTGCAGGGCCAGGGCAGGGGGGAGCCTGTCTTAGCCCCACTGCACCCCCACCCAGGAGCCACCTCACGTAAGCAGTGCGCAGCTGGAGCCCACATCCTGAAACCCTACCCCAGTCATGAACCCCTCCTGCACCCCAAGCCCTGCCCCAGCCCCGAGCACCCCTGCATCCAAACACCCTCCCAGAGCCTGCACCTAGAACCCCCTCCAGCAACCCAACTGCCTGCCCCAGGCTCAGCTCAGAGCCCCTCTCGCACTCCAGAACCCTTCATCAAAGACCAGAACCTGCACCCCAACCCGCTGCCCCTGCCTGTTGAAAGGGAGGGAGGAAGGGGTGAGCAGGGGTGGGGCCTCAAAGAAGAGTCAAGGGTGTTTGGGTTTGAAGGAGATCTTGGATTGCACTTACATTCAAAAAGTGATCTCATGCCTAAAGAGGTTGGAGACCAATAACTTAACACTTCACATTCTTTCAACTTCTTTAAAATAAAACCAAAACCACCTGATTTAAAAATAAACATCAAGAAAGGACAAGTTCTAGGACTACAAAGAGGATGTAGGCAGAAGCCCAGCAGCAGGGGAAACTTTTGGGAAAGGGGAAGCCTATGCAGGAAGGATGGGCTCCACATAAACCAAAATGGAACCAGACTGCTGGCACTTAAAATTTAAAAAGTTGTAGAGCAGTTTTTAAACAAAGGTCTTGGGGAAAGTTGACCGGTGCAGAGGGCACATGGATCAGACAGAGACATTCCTTAAGAGGAGAGTCTATAAATGGAGATTGTCTATGTCCTAGTACAGAGGAGAAGATGGAAGATAAGAAGATCTGGGTTAGATCATGTGAGAAACAGTCAAATGAAAAGAGTCCCATTCGATCCCATCATGTAATAGCAAACAGATAAATAGTGACAAGTTTTTAAAGTGCTTATATACAAACACTATGGCTGCATCTAGACTGGCAAGTTTTTCCGCAAAAGCACCTGCTTTTGTGTAAAAACTTGCCAGCTGTCTACACTGGCCGCTTGATTTTGTGCAAAAGCACTGACGTTCTACTGTCCGAAATCAGTGCTTCTTGCGCAAATGCTTTGACGTTCCTGTTCGGGCAAAAGTCCTTTTCTGGAAATGTTTTTGCGCAAGAGGGCCAGTGTAGACAGCTAAAAACGTTTGCGGAAAAAAGCCCTGATGGCGAAAATGGCGATCAGGGCTTTCTTACACAAAACCACGTCTAGATTGGCACAGACACTTTTCTGCAAAAAGTGCTTTTGCGGAAAAGCGTCCGTGCCAATCTAGACGCTCTTTTCTGCAAATGCTTTTAACAGAAAAACTTTTCCGTTAAAAGCATTTGCGGAAAATCATGCCAGTCTAGATGTAGCCTATGACTATTACAGTTGGGATATATTACTGACCCAACTGACCAGGATGGTGATAGTGACTGTAAAATGCTCAGGGAGATTAGAGAGAGACCATAAAAATAAAAATCCTCAATAATAGTGGGGGAGTTCAACTATCCCCATATAGAGATCTTAAATGATTGCTTTTTGGAGAAGCTGGTTCTGGAACCCACGAGAGGCGAGGCAGTTCTTGATTTGGTCCTAAGTGGAGCGCAGGACCTGGTCCAGGAGGTTACTGTAGCTGGACTGCTTGGAAATACTGACCACAATATAATTAATAAAATTATAATTTCCCTGTGATGGGAAAAACATCACACTGTGACATTTAATTTCAGAAAGGGGAACTACACAGAAACGAGGAGATTAGTTAAACAAATTTAAAAGTACAGTGCCAGAAGTGAAATCCCTGCAAGCTGCATGGAAACTTTTGAAAGATGCTATAATAGATGCTCAACTTAAATGTATGCCCCAAATTTAAAACAAAAACCAAAACACAGTAAGAGAACCAAAACAGTGCCATCGGGGCTTAATAGCCAAGTAAAAGAAGCAGTGAGAGGTAAAACGACATCATTTAAAAAGTGGAAGTTAAATCCTAGTGAGGAACATAGAGAGGAGCATAAACTCTGGCAAATAAAGTATAAAAATGTAATTAGGGAGGCCAAAAACTATCTGAAGAGCAGCTAACCAAAAACTCAAGAAGTAATCGCTCTCTCTATAAACAAATGTTCCTGTAGAACAACAGAGTGACATCATCATGTCACAGAGTCCACAGGCTGGGAAGTGTAGGCACGGGAGGGTAAAGCCCAGCTCCTAGCCCCACCCCTTCGTCCCTGGAACCAGGCCCGGCCACTGCTGGCCCAGACGGCTATGGGAGGCACAGGGAGAGCCAGGGCTCTGTGGCCTCACCCTTCCCCGCCACCGGGAGCAGAGCTGGGCCAGGCAGCGGGAGGTGTGGGGGTGGGGAAAAAAGGGCTTGTGCTGGTGCGGCAGGGGGCAGGGCGGGAGCATAACGAGTCTGGGCTGGCATGGCCAGGGTGGGGGGGAGAGAGAAAGGGCTGTGGCTGGCGTGAGTGTGGGCACGGCTGGGGGAGGGGAGAGCAGGGAGAAAAGGCCAGGGCAACCGGGGACGGTGGGAAGGAGAGAAAGGGCCGGGGCTGCTGCAGTCTGGCCCTCCCCAGGGGGCCCCCCCCCCCCAAGAGGGGGG